CTTTGCCGTTTCCATTTTATTAATCTCCATTGTAGCAGATCAGTGATCAGCTGTGGTTTTTCATAAAAAGGGTTTATTTAGTGTAGAGGAATGGTGAAAGGATTGCCCTTTATAATATTTAAGCTTTAGGGATCACAACTGGTGCTGCAGCTGTGAGCTACACTCATCTGCCAACAGTTACAGTGTCATGGCATGTAAATCAAAGTATTAAGACTCAGAAAGCAAAACAATTTGTGTCGTATACATCATTGCTATCTCATACTTTATTGGATTACGAATGTCCCTGCATGTGTTGTAGGTAGGTTAAATAGGAATGGATTATTTGATTTGCATAAACCAGGGAACAGAGAATAATATCTAACATTTTCAGGGTTATTCAAATAATCTCTAAATTGTATAGAATTAAAATCTGAATATCAAATGTAAAGCAAAAATAGCAAAACCTGAAAAATTCTAAACTGCAACTACAGTTATAGTTTGGCTATGTTAGCCTCAATTTTACAAGTCATATTTTAGTTCTCTAAAAGCTTTAATGGCAGCTTTAAACGGATGTCTAGGTCCAAATTAGTGCCACCCCCATCCAAAGATTGCCAGGGAATGCCTAGTTCCAAACAGTACTATTAATGTGGATCACCCCCCTCATTACTGTGAGAGTGGTGTTCCCATGTGTCATGGCATAAGCTCCCACAGTGAAATTTCCTACCTCCACTCCCACACCATGCCCTTAAATATATGTATGAGGTTCTCTCTATAACTTTTACATGTATTTAAACTATGTTTAAATTACCCAAATGATCAATTTTGTTTTGGTATTCATAAACGTAACTAATCCACAGTTTGTAAAATATTGCCCTGTAATAGACTAGGCTGTTCACAAAAGAGGGCGCCACTCATATAGAATAATGTGAAATGGGAATTAAGGCTACCTTAAGAAACCTACCCATATGACTTTTTTGTAATTGTTTGAAATTCTTTACATTAATTAAATGTAGATGATTTAAGGCTATTTTAAATATTTTGGACATAACATAGCCACATTGATAACCACAAATTCAAACACATATCTAAGATCAATGTAAGAAATAAATTAAGTAATGGAGACAATGTAATTTGGCTTACAGAAAAAATGACTGAAATTGATTAAAATAATTGAGCATTTTAATAGTTAGAATTCTGTGACCCTGTGGCCAGAATAGGTGGTAACAACTGGAGTACTCCAGACAGGCACACTTATTATTCTTGTTTACCAACCCTTTTGTTTCCTTTATCCCAAACAGTGTTTCCCTTCTTGCTGCAATAATAGTTGGTCTACAAACTCAAAGTAACTGAATTGAGTATTATGCTTCTACACAATGTAAGGAACATCCACACTTCTAGTCACCACGAGGACTCCAAGAGTCAGGTAGTGGAAGTTCTTAGAGGCCATGACAGTTAAGTTTTTTTTAATATCATATTTACATCTCTTTTTTTGTGTACATGTTTTAGGCAAATACTGATTTTGCTATTAAATTGATTTCTTAAAGGACTTAACACACATTACACTCAAATGTTATATAATGCCTTATTTTAAAGGGAACAGCGAAAAATGAAAAAAAAAGTTAGCTAATTAAAGATTTGTGTTTTGGGAAATTAACAAAAAAGATGGGGGTTACCCCAGGGAATTGCAAAATTACTATATTAACTATACTGCTATAGATTGTAAGCTCATTTGAGCAGGGTCCTCTTCAACCTATCATTCCTGTAAGTGTTCTTGTAATTGTCCTATTTATAGTTAAATCCCCCTTCTCATAATATTGCAAAGCGATACTGAATCTGTTAGCTCTATATAAATGGCAATAATAATAATAATTAAAACAAGAGAAAACTGTTAATTTAAGAGATTGGTGCAATTAAAACATAGCTTTTATTATTCAAATTAAAAACTTTCAAAGCAACAAAAGATTTGTAGCTTTGTTTTGAATTTATTATATGAATATATGATTAATAGGACATTTGCTTTTATTTATAAAACAAATATTTGATCAATAGAAGAAGTAGAAATGTATTGACTCAATACCTAAGTGATTCTAAATCAAATGATTACAAAGAGTCTAATATTTAGATTATAGAAGCACTGGTTTGTCAATTTGCAAATTGCAACAGTAGAAAATGACATGATAAACCTCCTAGTTACATAAGTGGTTACATTGTAGACATAGGGAAAAAGTGTAGAAACAGTACAAATTAATATAAATAAACAATGAAAGTGCAGAAGACTTGTGGATAGATATTCAAAAATAAGTCACTGACAACCACCCTAAGGTGGTATCAAAGATAATTAAGTTAGGTATCTACCTATCTAAACACTGGTAAAATGCACTGATAATCTAAACTTCTGAAAATCTGTGTACTGGCGGAACCTCGCGCATCAGTGGTGGCTAAACATCCATGTTGGGTCTACACCCACCACTTGCCACAATGCTGATTTTAAAGCTGTACTATGGGCACCAAAACAACTTTAACTTAATTAATCAGTTATAATCTATGGATCATGTCCCTGTGGTCACTGTTCAATTACCTACCATTTAGAAGTTAAATCATTTTTACTTCAGTCCATATAGCCCTAGCCACACCTTCCTTAGCTGTGACTGACACAGCTTGCAAGAAGGAAAATGCTTTCATTTCAATCAGATGTTAACATACTTTAGAAGTTTTTTTTTAATCTCATGCTCTTGAAATTGAACTTTAATCACCCACAGGAGGCTCCTGCAGTGTCTTAAAGTATCAAAATTATGTATAATTTAATCAATGTGTTACTGAGAAAGAAGCTAAATCTCCAAAGTTAACAGTTTTAATTATCACAATATTTTTTCTGAGGGTTACACTTCTTGGTCTCCTACTCTATGAGGAGAACAGTATTGTTGGCAATATATATTTTGGCTTACTATTTCAAAGTTAACATTTTGTTGTAACCATATTTGAAATTGATCCACATAACCTCTACCTATTGGTCTGCAATTTATACACACACATTAGTTGTGTGGTATGCTATTAAAAGGTTTTGTAACATAACCAAAGCATTAATCTGAAAAGGTTTTTTTTGTCTTTTTTTCCAATGAAAGTGAATGAAGTAAATTATACATGATCTATTGCTTATAATGTCAATCAAACTAAACATGCATTCTCTTTATATAGTCATTTAAGTGATTAGATCCCACCCTCTCCAAAACATACTCCTTGTAATACCAGTAACATGTAATTGAAATAGCACGTGTAAGCATAGATTTAAACATTGTTTAATTATGTTTTCAGCCTTATGCTGTTATCCAGCCAGGATAATGCACATATATCCTTTTGATCCCACTTACATATTTTCAGCACCTACCACTGGGTTTGTTCCCAGCATAAATGGATAATTAAGAACCCATGAGAAATACACAATGAAAAAAGAATTATATAGCAAGATTAGGTGGGCCTGGTTACTGAAACATTGTATCTAATTCAAGGTTTGTTTGGCAAAAATCACTGTAATTGAAATGAGGCATGTTATCCATTGTCAAGGAATAAAATAATAATGATAAAAAATATATATATACATTCCACATTAGCAATCCACAATTAACATGTGTGGGAATAGAACAAATAAGAAGGAATTAGAGAGGAGGATTTTTTTTTTTTTTACTCTTGACACTACACTTGAAGTCATTTTATTCTGATCTGTTATTCATATGAATTTGGGATGATTGGGTGATAATACAAATTTTCCATTTCTGAGTCACCATATAGAGTAATCACAAAAAAAAAAATAAAAAAAAAAATAAACTACTTACACAACAGACAACTATGTTTATTTTGATTCATGATTCATGAGCTGTTTTTAGGTGGGAGGAATTTGGGCAAATAAGCAGTTTAGTTTGCCATGATGGACAAGACATTGCCATGTGGGCTGTATCTCCTGTTTTGTCGAAAGGTGGAAAAAATATTGATAACTAGAGGACACCCACTAAATGTTCATTTTATTTACAGATCAAGTGACAGTGAGGGAAAAACAAAGGAGCAGTGAAAAAAACTTTTAGGTATGATTCATCCAGACACCTTGACTGCAGCTATTGAGGGAGGCAGACCATCAGTTATTTGAGTGTTTAACCATTATAGGAGTGGTAGATAACTTGTCTCATTGATCCTAAAGTGAGACTAGGTTTTTGTTACTGTCGTATCGACCTAGCTAGCAACTGCATTTTGAACTTAAAGCAACTTTGATTAAGAGGTAGGAGATATGCTGTGTCATTGATCCTGATGTGAGACTGTTGTTTAGTTTAGGGCCGTGTCAAGTGCCACTGCCACTTAACATAACTTTTAATCACAAATTTGCAGTTTAACATTTTTTTACTTTCCTTTCTTTTATGTGTTTGTAGCAAAAACAATTTTCCAGTAAAAAATTTTTTTTAAAAAGTCCATATTGCCACATTGACACACAAACCTATTTTATTCATCCTAGTACCGTATGAGACTGGTGGTTATGGTTATTGCTGTGGCTACTGCTAGTAGACAGCCAATGCAACTTAACACCAACTTGGAATCCCCAATTTTTTTATTGTAGAAAGAAAATAAGTTTTACTTAATTTTGCAGTCCAGTGTTTGTTGTGTAAGTGTGCATGCACTTGTGTTGTGTTTTTCCAAAACTCAAACACATTAATATTACAGTAGTAAATCCAACAAGCACTAATCATTCATATCTCAAATTTATTGTAATAAAAATAAAAAATAAAACATCATCATGAGGAGCGGAGCTTGAGATAGACGTGTGAGCCGTTTGCTCTCTCTCCCCCAAGCTAGCAATTCTGTTTAATCAGCACCTTTATCAGCCCATCAAGCCAATCTACCCACACCCCCTTGTGGAGATTATCCCCAGCCAGCCACACAACTAAGGGGTGTTGTAAAAAAAGGCAAAGAACAGACCCCATACGTGGCTTCCCTGTTTTGAATGCAACAAGACTAATGGCGTCCAACTTCCTCTCAAGGCCTAGCAGACTCTGGCTCAGAGTCTGAAGTCCGTGACTCCACAACTGAAACCAAGGCCCCACATACCAGACACGACCTCCAGAGGCTGCTTAAAGAGGTGATAGAGGATATTAAGTCCTATATGGCAGTGGAGCTGGAAAAACACGTTGCAGGCCTAAAGGCCGACTTAGACGCACTTACCTCCAGAACAAGTCAGACTGAAACCCACATAACCGGCCTCCTCACCAAAACGAAAACACAAAGCCAAGACATTACAGCACTGCATGAAAAAATCATACAGCTAGAGGATGGCATGGAGGATCTTAACAACAGATCACACAGGAATAATATCTGCATCAGGGGCATGACAGAATCTATGGCAACCAATGCAATTCTCTCCACAATTGGGGAAATTTTTCAGTCTCTCCTACTTGAGGTCTCCACACCAGAGCTCACAATAAATCGTGCCCACTGGGCCCTGCGCTCTCCGATGCCCAATGCCTCCAACCCAAGAGCTGTCATTGTAAAGCTTCTCTATTTCACCAATAAAGAAAAATTGATGAGGATCACAAGAAACAACCCTCTAACCATCCAAGGCCACACTCTACAGTTCTACTAGGACTTGGCCCCCCTCTACCCCCTCGGAAGAGAAGGGAACCCAAACCCCTTTACTGCTGCCCTAGTCCAACAGGGCTGGCAATACATGTGGGACACCCTTTTCTCCTAACTGCATGAAAGGACAACCAATCTCTCACCCTTTACCACATCAACGAGATGCAGGTCTTCGCTGATCATCTGGGCCTTTCGCTTCTCAAACTGCAAGCTGCAGCTACAGCGGGACCGTGGACCCGCCAATACGGCAAACCACGGGAAGTGCCTTTACCTCCCCACCAGCAATGCAAGAGGCCTATTCCTGCTACTACGAGTTACCTGACGGCAAACACTTGAAGCTTCTGGCCCGGCATCACGGACTTACCTTTGGGATAATGAATTCCGCTCCTCATTCCAAGGTTATGGGGCTAAGTCCCTGTTGAAAAGATTATGGTTTAATGTATTGCATGCCCCTTAAGTGATTCCCAAAGGTATCCCTCACGGGAACTCACTTAACCCATCCCCTGTATGGGAGGCTAAACTACTATTCCCTCTCTTAGAGACAGGGGACACATGCATACCTCAACCCCCACTACATGGGATGATTTCCCACCTGACAGAAGGGATAGTAGGAAAACACCCCTTGACACAATCACCCATAGGTAACACCACAGGTATCAATGGGAAATGGGTTAGACCCAAAGAGCATCTTTAAGACCCTCTAGACCTTGACGTTAACCATTACCCCCCAGAATGTCTGTCTACCCCCTATTTGAGACCCCCACATTACCTCTAAGTCTGCAATCAAGCCTAGAGCTTACAGTTTAATTAACCACTAACACCAGCAAAACTCCCCCCCCACCCCCACCACGGTACCATCCCTATATGTAACTCCAACTTACAAAACAGAATTACTAACAAAATTTGTGTAAATCTCATCGCTATCCTCTATGACATTTTGCTTTTGTAATTTCATTGTGAAAAGGTTTTAAAGGTTTGCATGCAATGTACTGTACTGTACTAATATGCCAAAGTATAACTACACTTTTGGGCCCCACATAAATCCTTTAATTACCACATCCACGACCGTCACCGCCCTCACAACCCCTTCAAGGCCTACTGTTCAGGCCTTCAACACCCATAAGTCCACTACCACCCCTAGAGCTCAAAAGCTCAATACACCCCAGCAGGCACGAAAAATGCACTGCAATTTCCTCCATCCACAAGGTCCATAAATTCCCCCTTAAACCCACCCTACAGGAGTCCAAAACACCACTGAAAAAACGGCCCACCAGAATACACAGGGACCAAGATGCACCAGGAGCGCAGCAACACTTCAACCAGCTCCCATACCCAGCCCCTAGGAATACATATGCCTTCCCCCCAAGGCACTGAACCATCTCCACCACAGGGAACCCTTCAGTAACTTTAGTATGCATTTGATTATTGATGATACAATTTTCTCGTACTATGACTGACTCCATTAAAAGCACACTGGCTCGCAACTACAATATCAATACCTCAGCCTACTCACTAACTCCATAAAGCTACGCTCAGGGTAGAGAATTCTCTTAGGAAGAGGCTCAAACCTTCCGAAATCCATTCCCACATTCATACTACAACTCCCCACCCACACCGACCCTCCTCTTACAGGTCGAGGGGGGCTTATACCCCACCGATTGGAAGGGGCACTCTCCACCCACTCATAACCTGGCATTGCCTGTATAAGACCAGGTACACACTCCACTCTTCTCACTTTCCCCCCTCCTTTTATCTCTTTTCTCTTCTTCCTTTTCTTTTCACTCCCTTTACCTCCTGCCTGATCCCCAACGTCTCTATAAAAGCCTTATAATGGACGAAACAACTTTATGAAAAAGTCTATCAAAAGTCAAATAAAGCAGACACTCTATTAGCCTGCAGATTAAATAATGCATTGCACATACGCACATAGACAGAATCACAGACTAAGAGGGGAAAATTAGAGTCCAACCAGACCAAATAGCTGCAGTCTTCCAAGAAAACTTCAGCTTTTATAGAATCATTGGTCATGAAGTCTTTGTTACCATAACCCTCAAGCTCGTGCCAACCCCACTACAGTTGCAGACCTAACCAACCGATACCTCAATTCTATCACCCTACCCTCCCTAAAACCTGAGGCAGCCTCTATGCTATCTAAACCTATCACTGAGAAAGAATTGAGCAAAACCCTTAAAACAATAAAACCAAATAAATGCCCTGGACCAGATGGCTTCTCGGGGCTTTATTATAAAACCTACACTAGCACACTCCTCCAACATCTATGCACTCTCTTCAACACCATCCTCCAGGGAGAAGCACTCCCACATGATCTGCTACAGGCAAATATATGCCTACTTCCCAAACCTCAGAAGACCCTCACAGAACCTGGAAAATCTCGCCCTATTTCACTGCTCAATGTGGACATAAAATTGTTCATGAAACTCATAGCAGACAGACTAAACCCCTTCTTCCCCAAACTTATACATCCAGACCAAGTTGGTTTCATCCCCTTCCGACAGGCATGTGACAACACAAGATGCACTTTCGACCTCCTATGGACAGTACACCACCGCCACATACCCACACTATTTCTTTCCATGGACGCCGAAAAGGCATTTGACCATTTACTCTGGCCTTTTCTTTTCGCTACCCTCCAAAAATTCGGCTTTCCACAAAACATAATGGACGCTCTGAGTGTACTTTATTGTACCTCCACAGCAAACCTGCTACTCCCTCTCACCCACCCCCCTTCCTTTCACATATACAACAGCACTCAATCCTATTCGCACTATCGCTGGAACCCCTCATACAAACCCTATGCAATGCCCAAATGATCAAAGGCATTTGAATCTGTGGAGAGGTTTACAGAACAGCAGCGTCTATAGACAACTTACTCCTTTCAATTACAATCCCTGCTGAACTTACTCCTAGCATTAGATGAATATGCCACTATCTCTGGATTCAAGCTATACATCGAAAAAAGAGAAGTCCTTGCTATCCATATAGAACCCACTACCCTATCTAATCTTCAACAAACATACCCTTTCACCTTCCAAACCACAAGCATACACTACTTAGACACACATCTCTCAGCAAATCTCCCTGACACACTGACTCAACTATATACCTCTCCTTTCAAAAGCTTTGCAAGACCTTTCTACATGGACTGGACTCTCCATCTCATGGCTGGGAAGACTAGCATCCATAAAGATGAACCTGCTGCCCAGATTTCTATTTATTTCAAGTTCTTCCCATCCCCAGATTTCTATTTATTTCAAGTTCTCCCCATCCCCATATCGTTGGCAAACTTTGAACTGCTGAAAACACAAATAGACAAGTTCATATGGGCCAACAAATGGGGTTAATCCAGCCTCTAGTGGCTGTCTCATTGACAGCCGCTAGAGACGCTTCCGCACTTCTCACTGTGATTTTCACAGTGAGAAGACGCCAGCGTCCATAGGAAAGCATTGATAATGCTTTCCTATGGACTGGCTGAATGCGTACGCAGCTCCTGCCGCGCATGTGCATTCAGCCAAGGAGGAGGAGAGGAGGAGGAGAGGAGTAGGAGAGTCCCCCGCCCAGCGCTGGAGAAAGAGGTAAGTTTAACCCCTTCGCCTCCCTAGAGCCCGGCGGGAGGGGGACCCTGAGGGTGGGGGCACCTTCAAGGCACTATAGTGCCAGGAAAACAAGTATGTTTTCCTGGCACTATAGTGGTCCTTTAAGGTCCATACTAAACAGTTTAGTTCAAGATCTATATGCAGGGAATTAGATTAGGTCCTAATTGGCTGGGGAACAGTGCTTTCAGTTCTTGCCTGGATGAGACTGCAGCTGAGAGCTGTCAGCCAGGGATGGTTTTTCAGAGACTGCATGGGAGAAAGCATTGAGCTGTGGGAGAACTGTTTTTTTACTTTTAATGCAAGCAGTATATGATAGCACAGTACACATGCCTGTCTTTTAGATCAAAACAATTGTTGCCCATTCAGATACATTGGGTAGACTAGGCAGTTGTCTTAGAGCTAATGAGGGTTATTTACATAACTTCTAGCAGGATCTAATCAGTTTTTTGATTCTTGTAATGGGCAGCCGCTGTTACACTTAGAGTGTCGGCTGATGTTCTCAGCTTACCACCAGCCACCCATCAAACCAAAACTCACTGAATAAACCAGAATAGTAAATTCAAGAGAAATAGAAACATAGTAAAAATAGTAAATAAGTAAATTCAATAAAACATTCAAATGAATGCTTGTATCCACAGTATTCACATGAATCTTTGTGAGTTTTACAATTACGTGTAACCTTTTGCATTTCTCTACCTGCTGTTAATGAGTGTAATTAAATATGATTCATACAATCCTCAAAATTGTGCCACTTTCCTTAAAAATAATATATACTGATTGCAGTAAAGTTGAGCTAACAAAATGTAACTATGAAAGACACAGTCCATTAGATAAGGAAATGTAACAGAATGGGAACAAAACTAACTTCTCTGTGAAAAATAAGGGAAGTGGAGACTGATGAAATGAAAGTAGCTAGGCAATATTTCACAGTCTAGATGGGTAGACATCTGAAGTATTACGATGAAGTAAAAGGGAGCTAAAGAGCACTTATCTCTAAATATGCAGAAGAACCCATAAGTAAGTTGTGGGAAGGTTCTGTTAGAGTAGGTGGAGAAGTGCACAGCTTGTGCATGAGCAGAGGGTATGCACCTTACAAGTACATGCAAAGTCAAAGGTAAGCATAAGCTTCCTTATATTATGTCTTTGAGTGGGGAAAGAGCTTATAATTGGATTTTTGTTTTTCAAATTGCTGTAGTTATACAGTCTCCCACTGACAGGGAACCTCTTTGCACTTGGACATATGCAAGAAGCAGATGCATTTATGGTGCTCGGAGTTTCTTTAAACTTAATGTACAAG